TTTTTGGTAAATTATAAAATTTAGTTTTCATTATTAAAAAAATCTATAATCTTAAAAAAAATTGAGAACAAGCCCGAAGCAAGGTAATGTTGTTGTTATTGAATGAAGTTTTAGAAATACTTAATAGACAAGCTATTGGAGTAATAGTTATTACCATCCAAACTGAAAGATATAGAAACATCAAGGACCCTACAACCAACCTACTTAGGAAGTAGCAACTGGTCTTTTGGTAAAGGGAAACTAGCTAGAGGGGTAAAACCTAACATCTATATCAGACAAATATAATTTTCTGTACTCCATAAACACAAGAATTTAATAGGCATTTGAACTTCAATATAAGGGGGTTTGTCAAAATACAATCCAATTTGAAAAAAGGTAATTTACTTCAAAAACTTGACTCTAGAAGATATATTATTGTTTGCTCATAAGTTCTGAGACCTAAATGAATATAGTCTCTCCACAAGCTAGTTGTATTACATAACCGAATTTACAGCTATATACATTTAATGCATGTTGAAGATTGAGATTCAGAGAGTACAACAACAATGGATAGCAGAAGCAATCAACGAAGGAAATTAGCATGTGGAACCCAAAATTTAATGCCGAGGATGATGGAGATAGAATTAGCAATCTACCAGAAAGTGTTCTGTGCCACATACATCCCTTCTTCAAGCCAAGGATACCGTACGAACCTGTGTTCTAAGCAAAGCTTGGGAATACAAGTGGATTTGCCTGTACAATCTCAAGTTTGATGATAGTTTAAGCTATACAAATTAGCAACCTAAAAAGAAACTTTTTGCAAATTTTGTTGATAGAGCTCTAGCACATTGCACAATGTCTATGATAAAAGAATATGAGCTCTTGTGCAAATTATCTTCCTACGATCCATCTCATGTGAAATCATAGATCTCAGTTTTGTTATTGCATAATAATTTTGAGAGGCTTCTCATGTTTCGTATCGAGAACATGGCACGCGAAAGTTGGAACTTCCGTGCTATTTTCACACTTGTGATTTTTTAACAGAAGTGAGATTATGCTGTTTCAATCTCAAATTTCCTCCCATTGTTTGTTTGCCAAAGCTCAGAATCTTGCATCTTCTCAAAATTGGATTTCTTAATCACAATCTTTCATTTTCTTCGAGCCAGTTAGTGTTGTCCTTCCCAGTTCTTGAATCTTTTCACTTGGAAGATTATAAAGGGTTGGATAAAGAAAAGACATTGAAGATAGATGCTCATTTGCTTGCCAACTTCCTGATGTTATCTAACCATTGCAGCACACGAATTAGAACAAATGATGAGCTAAATCACTGTGAAATAGAGGTTAGTGTAGCCAAGTTGAAAAAGTTTAAATGTAGTGGTCTTCTATTTCACAAGTTTGTTTGGTCAGGTGCATCACCATCAGGGGCAGTTAATATCTCTATCAAGCATACAATTCAAGACAACATTCTTGTGTTAAGGAAATTCATTACGTTTCCAACCTTCAGATTGTTGCAAAAGCTTTCTGCTTCCGTTACAATTCTGGAACTCCCAACCCATATAGTTGAGGTCAGTGAACAAACTTCCTCATTCTATTCTCGTTGGTAAACTAAACCAAGCCTAGAAGTATTTATTTATTTATTTATTAGTTTTATTGGAGTTAGGTTTTTAGTAGTTGTATGATTTAGAAATTTGTGTTTTATGTGGCAATTTCTTGTGCAAGTGGTTTCTTTTCCAACAAGTCAGGTAGGTTATAAATAGGGCATTAGTTTAGACTATTTTCTTAAGAGAGTTTAGAAGAATTTGTTAGGTTTTCTATTGTGTGTGACTTTTTTCATTGTTTGAGATTTCAATAACATTGTGAGTTAAATATTTTCTTCTCTTCCACATATATTTTGAGTGTTTGTTTTATCCCTTCAATTTTGTAACCCTATATGCATTTATTATTATTAGAACTCTAAAATTGGGGTTCTACAATTGGCATCAGAGCCAGACTACGAGGTTAGTTCTAGGCGTTTCTGCTGTCAGAGAATTAGGGCAAAAAGTTGCCGAAAAGTATTCAATTAATTGAGTTTGACCGCAAAGTTGGTTCTGAAGTGTGTAGTTGGTGAAGAATCCAACCATAAGATTGGTCCAAAATTTGTTAGATTGCTGCAGGTGAAGACAAAGATCAAAGAAGAATCTTGTGAGATTTATTGATTGCTGTGGGTTATCAGATTGAAGGATTTGATTGGTCAATCAACTAGGGAGGCTAGGAAAACCAGATAGAAGGGAGAGAAAAATTTATTCAGGTATATGAAATGTTAAATACTGGAATATTATACAGATCTGATTGATGGTGAAAAATTTTCATATTGACTCCCATAAGTACAAATAGACATACATATTTTGGTTGGGTTTTAATAGTGGAAAAATATCTCAAACATGTAATTTGGATGATATTCTTTGTTGGGTTGATGCAAGTGAGTTGCCAAAACATGTTTTTAAGAAGAAGGCACAATTATTTTTTTCAAGTGATGCGTAAAATGATGGCAGAATGTATTTACAAAACTTTTGTTCGTTGTACTAAAATACCTTGGAGATTTTGGAAGGATATTTACTATGTTTTTGTAGACGATTGAGAAGAATTATGCTTTCAAACCGAAGTCTAGTTGTTGGAGATGGTTTGTGAATTTTGAGAATGATAGATTTGTTGATAATATGGGTGATATTGAAAATTTTGAATCAGTTGATAGTTTTGATTTGCATATTTTGTTTGAAGAAATTGGAAGTGATGAATTTGTTGAAGAAAAAGAATGCAATAATCTGGTAGGAAGAAAAGAAGTCTGATTTGGTATGTAAAGAAAAAGAAATTATTATTGAAAAAATCATTGGTTTGAATTTCCTCAAGATGATAGAAAGATATTTGATTTGATAGTTATGGATTTCATTGGAATTCAAAAAATTTTTGCTCCAAAAGAGTTGATTGACAATATGAAATTTTTGGATATTTTGAATTATTTGGTGATGATAATTTTGGTAAGAGAGCAATCTATGATTTTGTATTTTTAGGCACTTACATTGGTGGTAAATATGGTGATTTTGGTGATGAATGGACTTGTATGAATAAGTACTTTGATCGAGGAGAAATTGTTGAAAAATTATTTGTAAAATACAAAATGCGCCCAAAAACACGTGTAAAGATGAAGTTAATAACCAACAACAAGATGAAGTTGCATGTCAGTTATACAGCAACAGAAATTTGCATAGAAATTGTTGCTTGAGATGGTGTTGGACATGCCTCAATGGAGAGTTTTGGTTTAAGGGAGGCAATATTGGCAAACTAAACCAAGTCTAGAAGTATTTATTTATTAGTTTTATTGGAGTTAAGTTTTTAGTAGTTGTATGATTTAGGAATTTGTGTTTTATTTGGCAATTTCTTATGCAAGTGGTTTCTTTTTCAACAAGTCTGGTAGGTTATAAATAGGGCATTAGTTTAGACTATTTTCTTAAGAGAGTCTCGAAGAATTTATTAGGTTTTCTATTGTGGTGTGACTTTCTTCATTGTTTGAGATTTTAATAATATTGTGAGTTAATTATTTTCTTCTCCCCCACATATATTTTGAGTGTTTATTTTATCCCTTCAATTTTGTAACCCTGCATGCATTTATGATTATTAGAACCCTAAAATTGGGGTTCTACAATACTCATGAAAAGTTTGTCAGTCAAACTAAGTGTGATTGGTTATTTGGCTTAATTCTGTTAATTAAGGTAAATTTTTTCTCCAGTTGAAGTTATTTGTCCTGAAACACATTTTTTTATGTTAACTTCTCTTTCTTGGCAGTTTGAGTGAATTGATACTAGATGCTAATTTTTTAGGATTAATCTTGTACATATTGATAGTGTATACACTATAAGGTATGGATGCACACTATATATGCAAGGATTGAACTTAAAATTCAAACCAAAATTAGGTAGCATGCATCATACCCTCTAGTGTATTATGCATTGTCAATATATGCAAGATTAATCTAGTTACTCAATGTAGATTGTGCCGTCAAATTAGTCTCAATTATATGTAACTAAGCAAATTTAGTTCAATGGCTGTGGCATTTATTTGCTAACTAGACCAAGCGGTATGTTGTAGAAGTTTAGGGACTGATGGTCACAAATAGTATAGTAAACTACCAGTTGTTAACATCCTAATTATACTTTGAGGCTGCAAAGAAGAATCAACCTATCTTTTACCTAATTGGTTGGGTGTATTTGAGGCCTCACATTACAAGATTCCACAGAGATTGAAGGCGGCTGCTAAATTTGCAGCCTGAAAGATTATTGATTAGACTTTTAATTTCTTACCAATGATGAGTTTTGAACTGATACTTATCAATGGTATCAATGGCAGAGATTATGGCAGAGATTGTGGCAGAGGTTATGGGAAAGATTATGGCAGATTATATGGCAGAGGTTATGGGAAAGATTATGGCAGATCATGACAGACATTATGGCTACAATCTGTATATATTTCTTACCTAGAATAGAAAATCAGTTACCATAGCTGTATATTAGGTCAATCAATCAAGTATATATAGGGGTTTACCAAAAATAGATTGTACAGGAATTCTTATTTAATAGAAAGGACCAGGAAGAGGAACAGCATCCGATTCCAGTCAATTTACTCGAATTTTGTCATGGTATCACAGCCTACCTTTTGAATCTATAAGATATTTTGAGTATTTTTTTTCTATAGCTTTTTGGGTTGATTTCTAATCAACATTCTGGTTTTGATATTTCTTAGTTTATCAATCTGTGATTTCGGATTTGAATTTGCGTTTTGTTAAGAATGGCTGCTGAGAATTCTTTTGGAAGACAATCTGCAGAGACTTTGGGTATCAGACTTACAGGGAAGAATTATGCAACATGGGAATTTCAGTTTAGAATGTTTCTGAAAGGGAAGGAGCTTTGGGGTCACATTGATGGGTCTTCTACTGCTTCTGGAACTGAGAAAGAAATAAGTCAATGGGAATCAAATGATTCACAAATTATTTCATGGATTTTAGCATCCATTGAACCTCATATGGTGAACAGCTTACGTTCATTTAATACTGCAAAGGAGATATGGAATTTTCTGAAACGCATATATCATCAACACAACACTGCAAGACGATTTCAGCTTGAACTTGATATCAGTAAGTTCAGTCAAGGTAATCTCTCTATTGAGCAATATTATTCTGCATTTCTAAATCTGTGGGGTGAATATTCTGATATCATCTACGTTGAGATACCTAAGGAGGCCTTAGCAAGCTTTCAAAAAGTTCATCAAGTTAGCATGCGTGATCAGTTTTTGATGAAACTGAGGCCAGAATTTGAGACTGCTCGGGGTGGATTGCTGAATCGAAATCCAGTTCCTTCTTTGGATGTGTGTGTTGGTGAATTGTTACGGGAAGAACAAAGATTGGCTACACAGTCAATTCTAAGTGCAGCTGGTGGGACATCAGAGGTTGTCAATGTTGCTTATGCTGCACAAGGAAGGAATAGAGGAAAGGGACAAATGCAGTGCTACAGCTGCAAGGAGTTTGGCCATATTGCTCGCAATTGTGGTAAGAAATTCTGCAGTTACTGTAAGCAAAGTGGACATATTCTAAAGGAATGTCCTACACGTCCCGAAAACAGGCGAGCCCAAGCTTTTCAAGCTACTGTTCCAGATGCTCCTGTTATTGGTCCTACATCTACCACCAGCCAGACTGCTCTGACCCCAGAAATGGTCCAGCAGATGATTCTTACTGCATTTTCTGCCCTTGGACTTCAAGGTCAAGGTAAGCCAGCTTCATCTACTTGGCTTATCGACTCAGGAGCGACCAACCATATGACTGGTTCATCTGATTTTTTACAAAATTTGCGGCCATATACTGGTTGCCAAAATATTCAGATTGCTAATGGTAGTAATCTTCCAATTACAGCTATTGGTGATATTGGACATTCTTTTCGCCATGTATTTGTTGCTCCTAAGTTGTCTACTAATTTAATCTCTGTTGGACAGCTAGTGGAGAATCATTGTGATGTACATTTCTCTCGTGGTGGTTGTCTTGTGCAGGACCAGATGTCGGGGAAGGTAATCGCGAAGGGGCCTAGAGTGGGAAGATTATTTCCATTGCAATTTACTATTCCTAGAACTTTATCTTTAGCCTCTATGATTGTTGACAATAAGGCTGAAATTTAGCATAGACGATTGGGTCATCCAAATAATGTCATTTTATCTGATTTAATAAAGCGTGGTTTTCTTGGTGCTAAAGATCAAGGTTTTGCTCATGCATCATCTCTTGGTTGTTCTGTGTGTAAATTGGGGAAGAGTAAGATGTTACCTTTTCCTACTTCTGTTGGTTGTGCTAGTGCATGCTTTGAGATAATACATAGTGATGTTTGGGGTATTACTCCTGTCATTTCACATGCGCAGTATAAATACTTTGTGACATTCATTGATGACTATAGTCGGTTCACATGGATATATTTCCTGCGCACTAAAGCTGAGGTGTTTACTGTTTTTCGAACCTTTGTGGCTTACATTGAGACACAGTTTTCCACTTGTATTAAGATCTTACGGTCTGATAATGGTGGGGAATATGTGTCACATGACTTCCAAGCCTACTTGCAACGCAAAGGGATTGTATCTCAGAGATCATGTCCTTATACCCCTCAACAAAATGGGGTGGCTGAACGCAAAAATCGCCATTTGTTGGATATGGTTCGAACATTACTCTTGCAATCTTCTGTACCCCCTAGATTTTGGGTTGAAGCTTTGTCAACTGCTGTGTATTTGATTAATCGATTGCCTTCTCAACAATTGGGTTTTGATTCTCCTTATTATCGTCTTTTTGGTGTACATCCTAATTATCACATGCTACACACATTTGGTTGTGTTTGTTTTGTTCACCTACCACCTCATGAGCGCCACAAGCTTGCAGCTCAGTCAGTTCGGTGTGCCTTTATGGGATATAGCACCACTCAAAAAGGATTCTTATGTTATGATGCTGTTGCTAATCGTTTGCGTGTCTCTCGACATGTCATTTTCTTTGAGCATGAGTACTATTTTCCGCAGCACACTTTTCCTTCCAACAATGTTCTTCTTCCTAGCTTTGATGATATCTCTCCACCAATTCAACGATTTAGACCTGGCATTGTCTATCAACGTCGACGACCTCCATCAGTAGAAATCCTTCCCGATCCTGCTCCACTGCCTACCACTTCTGATGATTCTGTGACTCTGCGACGATCTTCCCGTATCAGCAAACCTCCTGATAGGTATGGTTTCTCTGCCACTTTAGTTGACACTGCAGTACCTTCCTCTTATTATCAAGCAACTAAACATGCATGTTGGGTAAAAGCTATGGACGAAGAACTTCAAGCTCTTTTGGAGAATCATACTTGGGACATCGTACCTTGTCCTACTGGTGTAAAACCCATTGGCTGTAAATGGGTCTATTCCATTAAACTACGGTCCGATGGAACGCTTGATAGACATAAAGCGAGATTGGTGGCCCTTGGTAATCGACAGGAATATGGAATCAATTATGAGGAGACATTTGCTCCTGTAGCAAAGATGACTACGGTACGACTTGTTCTTGCCATTGCTGCTTCTAAGGGATGGTCACTGCGACAGATGGACGTTAAGAATGCCTTTTTACATGGAGATCTGAAAGAAGACATTTATATGACTCCACCACCAGGGTTATTCTCCACACCTTCAGGTGATGTTTGTAAGTTGAAACGATCACTCTATGGTTTGAAACAAGCTCCACGTGCTTGGTTTGATAAATTTCGTTCCACACTTCTTGGTTTCTCCTTTGTCCAAAGCCAGTATGATTCCTCTTTGTTTCTTTGCAAGACATCTAAAGGCATTGTCATACTTCTTGTATATGTTGATGATATTGTTATTACCGGGACTGATTATGCATTGATTTCTCAACTTCAAGACCATCTTCAACGTTGTTTCCATATGAAGGACCTGGGTTCTTTACAGTATTTTTTAGGTCTTGAGGTATATTCTAGTTCCACCGGTATTTTCTTAACCCAGCACAAATACATTCGGGAGTTAATTGCTTTGGCTGGTCTTCAAGATGGTCGATCCGTTGATACCCCTTTGGAAGTGAATGTTAAGTATCGTCATGATGAGGGTGATCTTATCTCTGATCCCTCTTTATATCGACAGCTGGTGGGTAGTCTAAACTACCTGACTATTACTCGCCCTGATATCTCTTTTGCTGTTCAACAAGTTAGTCAGTTTATGCAAGCACCTCGGCACCTTCATTTGGCAGCTGTTCGCCGCATTGTTCGCTATTTGAAAGGCACTTCTTCTCGTGGTCTTTTCTTTCTAGCAAACTCTCCTATTCGCCTGATTGCATATAGTGATGCTGATTGGGCTGGTTGTTCTGATACTAGACGTTCAGTTACTGGTTGGTGCATGTTCCTTGGTACTTCTCTCGTTTCCTGGAAAAGCAAGAAGCAAGACAGGGTGTCTAAGTCTTCTACGGAGTCTGAGTATCGTGCTATGTCTTCTGCATGCTCTGAAATTGTTTGGCTCCGTGGATTGTTAGGTGAGCTCGGGTTTCCTCAAAAAGGGTCTACACCGCTTCATGCCGACAACACTAGTGCAATTCAAATTGCGGCTAATCCAGTATTTCACGAGCGTACCAAACACATTGAAGTGGATTGTCACTCTATTCGTGAATCATATGATGCTCAGGTCATCTCTCTTCCACATATCCCCACTGATCTCCAGATTGCGGATGTGTTTACTAAAGCTCTCTCCAAAAATCGTCATCACTTTCTTGTTGACAAATTGATGCTTGTTGATCAGCCAGCATCAATTTGAGGGGGGATATCAATGGTATCAATGGCAGAGATTGTGGCAGAGGTTATGGGAAAGATTATGGCAGATTATATGGCAGAGGTTATGGGAAAGATTATGGCAGATCATGATAGACATTATGGCTACAATCTGTATATATTTCTTACCTACAATAGAAAATCAGTTACCATAGCTGTATATTAGGTCAATCAATCAAGTATATATAGGGGTTTACCAAAAATAGATTGTACAGGAATTCTTATTTAATAGAAAGGACCAGGAAGAGGAACAGCATCCGATTCCAGTCAATTTACTCGAATTTTGTCAATACTTGAATGATTTCCTCCCTATCCTAAAGGGACTTGCATACGCAGAACCCACATTTGCTCTTCCAGTCTTCAATAAGCTGCTCGTCCTTAAAGTATCTGGAGAAGTTTTCAATGACAACATTAACGTAGCCCTAATGGGCTTAGCAAAGATGGCACCAACAAGGTAAATGAAGAAACAACAAAATTTTGGAAGCTTTATCTGCATTTTTCCATTTAGTTATGTAGTGTTTGAAAACTGCTGTTTTTATACAAATTGGAATTCCTTTTTTTTTTTTTCCTTTTTTTGTTACAGTCTAGGAGATCGGCCGGCAACGATCAAGCAACTGAATCCTTGCCTACACATGCTTTACCATGTTTGAGACAAGTGACATTTGGAAGATTTAGCTGGGATGATCTAGCATTAGTGAAATGTCTGCTGAAAAGTGCATTGGTTCTTCAAGAGTTGGCAGTTGTTACAAAGCATTTGGGAGATGCAAAGTCTGAGATTGAAAATCAGCTGTCCATGTTGATGTTTCACAAAGTTTCCAGTAATTTATCTATCAAGCTTTGTTTCAAAATATTGATAAATTGTGCAAAGGTCGCAATTGGATGTTTATTCAAAAGAGAGCACAATTTCAGGTCATTTTATAAAAAGCGTTTGTACAAATGCTTATTGACATGAAAATCCCAATTAGCATCAAAATGTATACTCATAAAAATTAGCGCAAGTTCTCCTTGTAGTAAAGGACTTCATCTTCAACCCTTTTTATGAACCGAATCTAAGCTCATGTGCCTAATTTACAAAACACTTGCAACCCTTTATGTCAGTCCACCAAAATTCAATCCTCTTTGACAATAATTGCAGGGATTTATGCAGGAGAGCCAAAAACACTCACAAGGAGTAATCCCTAAAAATTAAGAATCTACTGGAGGCCTAATCTAGATTAAGTGCTCTCTGGCAGACCAATTGAGTCTAAATTATTAAATATAACTTCAACCATGAGGCACACAGAAGATCTCTAGTGATTAAGATTCTAATAAGAAGTTTAATTGTAACATGGTGATAAATGATGATAACCAGACACGAAAATATTTGCATGGTAGCTGATGTTATTTTGAAACTTTCCAAAACGGATTGTGGTTATAAAATGGCATCATCTTGATTCCGTCTCGTTGGAAACAAGGTGCCTGTTGTCGATTATTGCACCTTCAAGGTTCTTGCACGTACGTTGGTTTCCAAGAAATTGTAATACAATCAAGATGCTGATGAGTAAGAAGGCAAATTATGCTGCTCGATTCTGAACTTATTTAGGTTTCCACGGCTGCAGAGAAGGTGGCATTGATGTCATGGCATGCGCTTTGCTGCCTACAACCAGCATACTGGTTACTTCAACGAAAAAGCAAGGCAGCCTTTCCCGGGTGTGCTCGAGCAAAGATTTCTTTGCTAGAAGAAGATTAAGAAGATCATATTCCAACAATCACCTCTGTTACTCGGTCAATCCTCGATCATTCTTATTTGATCTGTTAACTGGCAAAAATCTCCATGGAAGAGAACATGGTGGAAAGAGACCAAGGCAGTGAGATCAACGTTAAAGAGGAGCTGAAAAGTGCAAACTGGGTTGAAAGCATAACCAAACTTGTGCGCCGGTGGAAACAGAAGCAACTAAAGAATGATGAATATGGCAAACAAGACAATGATGATGGTGATGAAGATGGAGCTGGGGACTTATGTAAAGCAGAATACGATGATGATGCAGCTGATGGCAGTGCGAAGAAAAATGCTGGATCCTTCTTGAGGTTGTTGAGTCCTGTGCCCTGGTCAGACACCAAGCTTTTCTCTAAGTTGGCTTTCCTGTGCAACATGGCTTGTGTGATCCCAGAGATTAAAGTACGTTTATCAAATACTTGATACACTTCCCACTACGATGAGAACTCTCCTTGACGGAACCAAGAAACATAGTTTATGTGGGATGCACCAACAAAATCCCTGTATCGTCTGAATAAAGGAGGAGAATGATTCACCTGTATACTCTCCATTTTGGTCCACTATTCCAAGGTTATACATTCACCACGTTCACTTCAAGAGCTACATCTTGGACATTATTTCAGATCAATTGACGACGTGAACCAAATTATGAGCAGGCTGAGATACTATGGCTTAAAATTTGTAACTTCTTCTCTAGCAAAGAAGGCAAATGCATCAGCTGTGAAAACCAAACTTGATCAGAATTCCAGTCTTGAACCTCTGGCGGCATCATCAATGTGTAGAATCAGGTACCCAGAAAAAGGAGAATTCTAGGCATAAGCGCTTACATCACTCATCAGTTGCATATGAGCTTGTTGCTTCTGCTGCATCTAATGTCCAAGCTCTTGTCAAAGACTATCAATTGGTTCTGGATCCCAGCTGCAGATCAATAATGCAGTTCTACATGCCAAAGGAAAACACCAAGAAGATGTAGTGGGAACTCCACGAGTACACAAATCAGATACAGCTGCATATCTAGCATCATCAGCAGTGATTGCAGCAGATGCAAAGCAAAATTGTGAGGCAGCAATGGATCTTGAATCACATCATTCCTCAGCTTCTGAATGGTTTGTTTGTGATGACTCAAAGATATATACACGCTGCTTTGTTATCCATGTAACAATTCAAGCAATCCGATATTACATCGTCACAGTCCCAAGATAGATATGTTATCAAGAAACTACAATATCATACTGACCAATTAGTTATCTGTGTCAAGAGGAAGCTCAATAGCTTCAACTGCTCAGTTAGAGAGGATTCTGCATATTTTTACACACTTCTTGTGAACCGCAAAGTTCAGACTCCTTTTCGTCATGGCAGGCAAATCTCTTCTTTGAACCCACTATGTTTGTTATATATATCCTAAACCTATACAGATGTTATCTGGGAAGAAGTGTGACTATTTTCCATCAAGGGTATTGAAACTTCTCAGTCTAACTTCCTGTTACAGGGAACAGATGTGTTGGTTCACAGGGGAATCTATGAAGAGTCAATGGGGTTGTATGAGCAACTCATGCCAAAAATGATCCAGCATCTAGAAAGAATTGGTAATCAAACCAAGCTTCAACTTACAGGCCATTCTCTTGGAGGTAGCCTTTCCCTTCTAGTCAGTCTGATGCCACTAACAAGGAAAGTTGTTAAACCCTCTGCTCTTCTACCAGTTGTCACTTTTGGATCACCTTTTTTATTCTGTGGTGACCAAAAGGTCCTTGACCAACTCGGCTTGGATGAAAATAATGTTCATTGTGTGGTGATGCATAAAGACATTATTCCAAGAGCATTCTCTTGCAACTATCCAAAGCATGTGGTACAAGTCCTTAAGTGCTTCAATACTACCTTTTGTTCAAATCCTCTTCTAAATAAAAATGTATCCCTCTCATAATCAAGAAAGGAGACTGTTAACACTTCTTATTCCTAAAGAAACCAGTTAAAGGAAGTACTACATTTAGACGTAAATAAAGATTTCACTACCAGATTTAAAAAGCAAAGGATTAAATTATGTAGAAGTAATGTAGTACAAATATGACTAACACACCCAATGTCTTCAATCCTGACTTTTTTATTCCATCCCCCTGTACTGACAATATTTTTCTTCCTTGGGGCGCAGAAGCAGCTGTACTCTTCCATGGGTAAAATATTTATCCTCCAACAAGATGAGAGGTCATCCCCTGCGCATCCTTCCTTCCCCCCAGGCAGTGCTCTATATGAATTGGAAAATGCCCATGGTGCTACTACAGCAGGCGCTCATATCCGGTGGAAACCCTTAGTGACCCTACAGCATATGGTTCTGAAGGTTCGATTTTTAGGGACCAGGATCTAGCAACTATCTGAAGGCAGTGAATAAGGTTGTTAGACAACACACAACGCAAAATATAAGGAAAGCAAAAGAGAAAATCAATCTATTGTGGCCCCTCTTAACTTCAGAATCTCCCCATGCATGAAGCGATGACTAACTTTTTGGAAGAGATATTGGCACTAAAGGATATAATGACTGGTATCTAAGTGTTTTGACGACCTGATGTTGTAAACAGATGTTCACAAGAGCTTGAATGGGAACTCATAATTGTGCATATTACGAATTATCTTGTATATGCACAAAGTTAGTATCACTAACACCCTTTATCCCATGTTAATACCAGTTAAAGAGATGTTACTTCATAGTACACCTGCACCAAGAGTTTATACCCCCGTGGCTTTCCTCATTAGTGACCAAAGCTACAAAGAAAGTGCAAAAAATCAAGATTTTTGAACTTACATAGAAGTATAAGGTTTTCTTAAAAGATCAAGGGAGCCAAAATTACCATATCCCTTGCAAACTATGTGATTTTCTTGTCAACCAAACTAAAGATGCATAAAATCCCATCCCAATTCAAGAAATGCTATCACAAAACTCAATTATCCAACCAAAGAGAGTATTTCACATGAAAAATGCATAATTAACCATGATACAACTAGAACAGAACTAAATTCAATCCTTGCAAACTCAAACTACAAAAGAAAGATATAAAAAGGAAGCACAAGACTGAAGTTAAACAATCAAGAAACCAAACTGAGCATCAGAAGCAAAAATCTTTTCTTTTCCAGCAAATGCTAAAAAGCACCTTCAACGTCAAAAATTTTATTTAAGGATAGCATCTTGTGAGAGAATAATGCAATCCCTTTACAAGTAAAAGCCAAAACATGAAACATTTTATTTTACTGGGAAGTACGTGACTGCGAGTGTAATATGAATTAAGAGAAAAAAAGAAAAAGCCAAAATAGGGATTACAATATGTACAGGGGCTCTAATATGTTGTATGCGTAACAAAAGAGGAAGAGCGCTGATGCTCTGTGGGTGCTGTGTATGTAATATCTTTGGTTTATGAGAAGTTGAGAGCCATTTATTGGGTTTTTTCAGTGAAGTTGTGTGTGTGTGTGTGTGTGTGTGTGTGAGAGAGAGAGAGAGAGATTGGAAGGTCAGAAATGCAGAGTCTTAACCTGTAAGTGGCTCAAAGGAAGGCCTTTATCTACTAATAGCAATATTAGTGTTAGGCAATGAAATTCAATTCAATCGAGGGACACAAGACTCCACTGACTGTCCAACCACCTTGCCCACTCCTTGCCCTTTCCACTTTTGTAGTCGACATTATTCTTTTGTAAAGAATCTTATGTCTGTTCCCAATGCAAGGTTTCATGCGTGTTGGTATTTGCCTAGATTATTGTTTCCCCCCTTTTTCAGTACTCAGATGGAAAGGTAGGTCTTAGGTACCTATACACTCCTTAGCAGAGAAAATTGTGCCTATGTAACAATACTGTTAATGTGTCTATATCTTCTACAGCCAACCTTCGGATGCTATCCACCCTGTACTAACAAAAATTCTTTTTTTGGGTGTAAAAACTGCTATACTAGCCCAAGGTGAATGGTCATCGTCTTACAAATGATTAGCATCACCTGTGGATCACAAATGAAAACGCACACAACCAAGCTGAATGGTGATCGTCTTGCAAAAGCATCAGCATCACATTCACATTCAAGTCAATGGTATTCGTCTTATAATATATAATATATACACATTACTCAGCATAAATGCTGTAGAGTTTTGTAAAATAGCATGTACCAGAAGCAATGCCCTTACCATAAAAGATGTGTAAATTGGCCAAAGTTGTACTATCTGATCAAAAAAGAACTTACACTAGAACAGAAAAATAATCATAGCATATATAGGATTAGATCATGATGCACAAGGCAAATGGCTCAGACACATCATTTCCCTTCAGCTGACATTCTCTTGCGTATCTCAAATGCTGTGTTGAATATCCCATTGGTTGGCTGGTTGCACACGAAGCACTTCTTGTTTCTTGCATGATGCTGTCAGCCATAAGGATTGTAATCAATAACATATTCAAAGTTAATCAAAGTAACTCTTCACATATTGTATTCATGAAAAGAAAAAGCAGGGATGCAAAGTCTTTATACTATGGTAGCCAAATGTAACACATATCTCAGCTAACTCTCAAGCCAAAGGGAAGATACTGCAGAATGACAAGAAGTTGGAAGAACAAAATTAAAAGGTGGATTTTCACATATGAAGAAATTATGAATACATTTAAGCTCCAAAGCATGATAAGTAACACAAATGCTAACAATAATGATATGTAAAATATTTTCCAATAAATGAGAATTTTGCTTCATACTCAACATTTTCATATATCAAATAGAAGGGAGATGGGGGTGAGAAAATAGAAGAATTACAATGACAACTTGGAACTTAATCTCTTTTCCCAATTTGAAGTAAATAAATTTTCTCCCATCAACACTACTGATGTCATCCTATTTTAAATGAAGAAAGATATCTCCATCTGATTGATGATAAACATTAAGCCCAAAAATGAAACTGCCATAACAATCATGATCTTAATAAGAGTTTCAAAGTTCTCCCACAATCTTAAAACACGTCTAAACACTTTCCAAGCCAAAAGTTGGGGATATTAGAAAAAGAAAATCAAACAAGACAATCATTTCTAAGCTCCAAGTTGATTTGAACTTTAAGGCAACGTAATCATTTAAAATTGTGTCAACCAGGCATATAAGTTCTGTGCAAAAAATTCAAGTAATCTGGCCCAGATGAAAGAAATAAATTAATAACCAGTATTACCTTTAATGCACAATGCTCGCAGAAGTAGTGCTTGCACTTGGTCACCACAGGATCCACAAAAGGTTGCCTACAAATGAAACAAGCAAAGGGCAAGGCATCATCTTCATCTTCATCACTCTTCTCAGCAGTATCCTCATCCGCATTATCAATTCCCAAAGCCAAATTCCTTTTCCTGATCTTCTCTGCTTCATCCCACTCCTTCTCTAGTTGCCATCCTGATTTATAATCACCGCGGTCATGCATAAACTTGCATGCATCCCCATATCCACAATAACCTGTCTCTTTATAATCCTTGCAGATATCTGGCTGATAGTCAAACCTTGCTGATACTCTAATGTGGGCAGATGCTCGAAGAGGTCCATGTGAACCACCAGCTTTCTCACCAGAGACAGTATGCTCTCTTCGAAACCCAGCTTTGTAATCTGTGTATCCATGCATTCCTTTATATACTTTTTCATCACTAGTACCTTTTCCTTGCAATGCCTCCTCTGCTTGCTTGAGAACTCTCTCCCTGATTGCCCGAGCATCTCTTGAGAACTCGGTCTCAGTTTCTAATGTTGCTGTTGCTCTACTATCATTATGAACCTGAATCTCCTTAGAAGATTCAAAATGAAAAAATGGGGTTTTTGAGTCTGCATTAGTTTCTGCCTCGATAGAACGCTTGGAGGATCCAGTAGAGAAGTGCAATTTGTTGTCAGCTGCTGCTGGCTTCTTCTTATTAAAAACCACGGAGCTTTCATCCTTTGAATCTTCATCAGCATTATCTTCGTCAACAGCAGGGCGTTTTCTAATATTTTTACCTTTGGATGGCTTTTTAAAGAAATTACAAACTGCAAACACATAAAAAATAACTCAGTTTAATGTCATGGCAGAGAAACCAACAGTAGAACCATCCAAGAAAGCAAAAACAATTTCTTTTAAAAGATAAAAAGAAAAGGACATGAGGAAAAAATTAGAAACAAAAGAGGCAGCATTACTGCTAATACCTGGATGACCACCGATCAGTATTGTAGGTAAAAATCATTTCAATAGACCAAATCATAACTAAATAACAAGCCATCAGCATTTGGCTTTCAGATAGAACTTCTTTGTTGGACAACAAGGTCAAAAGGATGAACTGGTAAAGGGGAAAGGGAAGGGGAATGTGAGAGTTAAGAACTGGTTTGAACAACGACTTATTTACTCCTACTTTTAGAATTCATTATTCTCATTTTTCAAAAAGTATTTAAAGAAAAGAGAAAAAGAAGAAAATGAGAATCCCACAACAATCACAAAGCTGCAAAAAATGCATTTTTAGCCTACAACTCTAATCAGCAGTAACTTTCTTTGAAGCTCAACACCCTATATACTGAACATCTTCTACTATCTTTATGTTACTCCCTATAATCCAAACACTAGAAATTAGGGACATGAGAGAAAGCAAGTAAAGTATAAGAAACACAAATTCCCAACATTAAAATAGAAACAGAAAACAGAACTACTAGTTACAATTTAGATGGGCAAAAGAAAAGAAAAAAGGAAAGGAAAACCGAACCTTCTTGTTTTTGTTGTGGAGCTTCGCCGGAGTCTGACATTTTACACTTGACCCGAACAGTGTGAGCTGGATAGCCCAGAACACGGATACCAAATCCCGCGCTGATTCAGGCCTAGAATAAAAGAACATAGCATTGTGAAATAAAAAACTAATCTTTAATATTATGAAAAAATAACATATATGATTGAAGGACTTCAACCTCTAGTTGCACATTCAGGTGACAACAACGAAGTCAGCAATATACACTCTGAACCATAATCTGTGTTTCATGACAAAGTTGATTGATTCCACAAACTTACAATCTACTATGGGAAATCATGAGAAGTTCACTTTCTCTTTTAGCTATCTTCCTTTATAGCCAAAGATAAAATCAACAAGAATAACAAAATAACAAACTTACTAACAACGCTTAACTCATTCAACTGATTTCACCAATCCGCACAAAAGCTCTTCACATCTGGCTTAATCTACCATCAGAAAACCAAGACAAAATCTGCCAGTAGCCCACTTGTGCCCCTAACTAGAAGTGCTAAAAGACACTAACCTAAACACAAATGAAAAGTTCTTCTTCTCATATATTTCGCACCTCTTAATCAGACACACAAAGCCCTTCATCCCATATTGGGAATATGCGGTTAACACTATTTATTGCCTGATAATACTACAGGATGTGGGCTATTGATACATAGTCATTAATACTGACACAATGATTCGGGGTATAAACGGGCCAAATCAAGCAAAACACTCTAGATTCAAGCTTGTTTGTCTTTTAACAAACTTGAAATTGTAATTGGGTTCAAATTTAGCTTGTTTAAAAATCAAGCCAAACTTGAAAATCTTTTATAGAGCCGAGCTCAAGTGGCTTGAACACTTTTTATCAAGAAATTAGAACAATATTAAGCAATACCAAAACAACAAGGCTTAAATCCAAAATTTCTCTCCTAAGAACAGCAGTTTCTCATCTAAACTGAAGCCAGAATCAGAAGCACTTACCGTTATTGTTGAATATGCCTGGTGTGCTAAAAAGTTAGAGGGATGGGCCTTGTCTCCTCCTCCGCAGCCGCAGCCGCCGCCGCCGCCGCCGCCGTCGACACCAGCCAAAATCAAAGCTTGTATCTCCTCAGCCAATTTGCAAGAAAACCCAGAAAACTACTGCCTTGAACCTCTCTAGATTGCAGTTTTTTTTTTATTTGGGTTTTTCGAGCGGAGTCAGCGAAGAAAGGTGCTGAACGTTGAGGAGGAGAATTTTGGCGAAGAAAGAGGAGGAGAAGCAGGGATCAATTTTGGAGACTAAATGCCGCGAAAAAGCCCTTGGGGGTTTTGAGATTTCGATTTTAGACCACAGTAAAATTAAGAATTACATGGAGGTTTCTAAAATATGATTTAGTTCACAAAAAAGTATGAAGATGTCGGTTGAGCCCTTAAAAGTTTAGCAAAGTGGTTAATTAAGGTAGGATCGGATTCAGATTAAAACCAGACCAGGGTAACTAATACATTGTCATGTGTGGAGACTTCGAATTTAATAAGTTAATTTGGACGAGCGATTATTTAAAGTTTTTTTTATTAATATTTTTTTATAATATGATGAATGTGAGATGATTAGAAAAATAAAAAGATTCTTCATGAAAAAAAATGATGGAATTTCACGATTTTGCATCCTAAACTTTTATATTTAAATCAATTTCATTCTTTATAAATTTTTTTTAACCAATTTAGTTCTCGAACTATTTTTTTTAGTTTTAACGCGGGACTTTTGGGACGACACCATATCATATTTTACATATTTCACACTATTGAACAAGGATAAATTTGTCACATCAAGTCACAATTTTATTCATTATACGGACGATAACTACACCAAAAACAACCACAAGGCCCACAACCAGGCTCCCCATCGCTACCAATCTCCCAAGCCCCTTTGAACAGTCCCTCCCAACTAGGGATGGCAATGGGGGCGGGTGCCCACGCGGGGGGCTCTCGGGGCGGGGGGTGGGGCGGGGGCGGGGGGGAATTTTTCCCCCCCGCTTAGAAACGGGGCGGGGGAGTATACCCCCGCCCCATCCCCCGCCCCGCCACCCGCAAAACAAAAAAAAAAAATATATATATATATATATATAATTATATATAAGCCAAGTAAAGCAGTAGTTGAGCAGAAAAGAATTGATTACCCACAACCTTATCAATCTGCTTGGTATATGATACATAGCTACTTGTGCCTAATACACTATGATCTTTTGTTACAGGATTGTACGATCATTACCGCATTGTAAATGTTCTAGGTGGGTTCTAGGTTCTTTTACTACAGTCCAGTAATCTTAAATTGCATCATCCTTTCAAAATTAGTGAGTTAAAGCAGGACCAAAACCACATACTTGCAAAGCATATTCATCAATTGATTCGCCTCTGATTGGCTTCTCACTCGAGGGCCAGCCTCATATTTCCAGGAACTTTGGAGTTTGCTATGAGCTCTTAAAGCAGCTTCAAAACTAGGAATTCGCACTGGATACTATCATGAAAATATTTGATCAAAGTCACAAATTTGATTCTTGGACAAAATGTTGTTAGCTTCAACACGAACTCTGGGATGCAAAATCCTATGAGCAGAACTACCATTTCCGATTGGAAAAGCTCCTTGACCCAAAATTCTCAATTTATTCATGTGTTTGGGGTAATGATCATGAAGATTTGGGAATCTACGTTATTCTCAATATAAAATTTTATTAACCCCGCGGGGGCACCCGCGGGGGAAGCGGGGCGGGGCGGGGCGGGGGGAGCGGGAGGCGGGGGACGGGGCGGGGGACGGGGGGAACTAATAGGCAACGGGGCGGGGGGCGGGGGAGGGGTCCCCCGCCCCAACCCCGCCCCGTTGCCATCCCTACTCCCAACAAGTCCGCCCGATTCTCCAAAGCATCTGTAGTAAAAACCCAATATACTTAAAATATAGATGATCCATAACAATCAATCCAGAAGTCCAAACGGCCAAAACCCAAATAAGATATTTCTCTGTGGCTAAGTTTCCAAGTAATTCTACTAATTATCATTATAGTAAATATTGCAGAGTTTTCTTAATTTGTCTTATAGTTAACATCTTAATTAATTGTTTTCTTTCATGGAATTACTATATAAATGATGCATAAATAACATTTGGAGCTCATGAAATTCATTGGATTAGTGCATGTCTGTGATGGTTATTGTAAAAGTGAAGCGGGGATATATTGATCAAATGAGTTGGTGGCATTTGAATTTGGTCAAGTGAATTGGGGATATATTAATATGTTGATTAGATTTTGACTATCCATTTGAAGAATTTTAGGGTGGATTCTCTCTAATGTTTGAATAATTTAAGGCAGTTCGTGGCATTTAGTAGTCAACTTGGCCATCAGCATTAACGACAGAAACACAGCATGGAAAGGAAGAAATTCATCATTCCAACTTGGCTACTCCACCTTTTGCCCGCTAGCTTCGGCGACAGCATCAACCCGCGCGTCCCCATGGAGGCCCTACCATAGTGGTTGCCAGAAACCTCAAGGCCGCATAGGTCTATATGATGGTAGATATCACGGTGGTGAGGAGGCCAGAGAGGGACATGAGTACGCAATACAGGATGAGACAAATATACCCCTAATTGGTCACGATAGAGATGTAAAAATTGGTGGCGCCGCGCGCACGAATCTTAAGTTAGAAAAGGAAAAATAGTTCGAGAATTAAATTAGTTTAAAAAATTATGAAGGATGAAATTGATTTGAGTGTAAAAATTTAGAGACCAAAATGATGAATTTTCCAAAAAAAATGAATCTGATGCAAGTAAATAATTTGTTTACGAATAATGACCGATCCAAACACACCCCTTTAAATAATAGGGTAAATTACATCTATCTTCCTTGAGGTATAGCTAAACTATGAATCAAACCCTAAGGTGTGGCCATATTTACATCTACCTCCCTTGTCACTGACACTGCCTATAAAATCGATGGATGGAATAAATGAAATGACGAATTTATCCTTTATTTAGAAGAATTAAATAAAATCCAAAAGAATTAGAAAAAGTTGCAAAAGTATATTTTTGAGTCCCTACAAAAATGACTGAACTAATTTAAAGAAAAACATAAGCATGAAAATTGCACCCAAAAAAATCACTGTTTCAAGTTTCCAACCCCTAACATAATAAGAAAAAAAAAAAAAGAAGCAAGCAAAACGAATTATGGGAATTGCACAAAAATATAAAAAGAAAAAGTTAAGTACCATAAAAATGGTAATGAACAAAGAGATGTAAGGAATAGAAATCTGCCCAGAAACTTTAGAAAAAAAAAAAAAAAAAAGAAATCTGCCCAGAAACTTTAGAAAAGGAGAAATCGTGAAATGGTTAAGGCTTCTAGGAGAATAGAACCAGGCAAGAAAAAAGAAAACAGGCAAGATAAATAATAATTAAGAACAATATTCCATTTCAGTAGTATTCCAGAAATCGTTTTCTCCATTTTTGCGTCTACATCACATCGTCTTTTCTTCTTCAAGTTCATCTTTAACTTTGCCGCCTCCATCCTCTCCTTTCATAAACTCACAAAGCAATAGACCCATTGAATTGAAGCAGGAAGGCATTCAAGATTTAATAGCTAGTGGAATCATTTTTTGCATGTTTGCATGGCCTTTGGAGGATGAAGAAGATGAGTTGAAAGAATTAGGCTTGTGGGTAGTAAGGGACATTCAGTTCTACTTTTATCAAACGTCAAGCAGTCAACATTTGTGGACTACCAGCTTGGGTCTCTTCGCTATGTTTTTGCGTATATGGAGGGTTGTTTTCTTATTTTTCCAAACCTCAGGGTTCAATTTATAATTTGGCCATACCTCAAGGGAGGTAAATATAATTAACCCTAAATAATATTTGTGCTTTTCCATACTTTAATACAAGTCCAATTCTTGATTGGATTTGCATTAAATCCCTCTTAAATAATAATATTTGTGCTTTTCCATACTCTAATACAAGTCCATTTCTTGATTGGATTTGCACTTAATTTGTCCATTCGTGATTTGAATGCACTGACTACACCGTCAACTTTAGCGGTGGTTTTTTTTTTAAAAAAAAATTTTGCACATTTCATGGTTGCATATGTAGGACCTTTTTATATAACAGGAAGCTTAGAAGTACCTTTCCTCTGGTATAATTCGGAGTTTTCCCTCTTTACTTTTGTTTCTGCTTGATTTGGGGTCGTAAGAGTTTTTTTTTTTTTCCCCTGAGATTTGCATTCTTCTCTATAATTCTCAAGTGTTGCTCTAAATTCAACCGTATAGGCATATATGTTTTTCATTAACTAATTTTTCTTAAACTTTTCTCTTTAACCCCTTACAAATCAAAGAATGACACATATTCTTGCTTTGCCACCTTGGTGCTGCAGATTTTTCCTCTTTTCTTAGATGCAAGACCAGAATCATGACAAAACATAGCATTCTCATTTTCTATTAGCGATAATTTCATAAAACTCCCTCGAAGTTTCAGATAATTGCACTTAAATACCATCTAATATCGAAAATTACATGCCCTCCCCTTAAATGACATTTTTTTATAACTATTTCAACCCTTGTCAAAGCTTCCTTAAAAATTGCGAAAAAATACTGACACATAATTTTCTACCAAATTGGCCCTCATTGTGTGTAGGAGAAAACATGTACTACTTTTTTATGAAATTAACAAAGCAAGAAAAAAAACATATTGGCACTTCAATGATACATATAGAAAAGTCAACTTTTGTCTATTAAGGCCAAGAAGAGCTATTGCATTATCAATTGCAATGACTCTACCCGGGCAGCATATAAGCTAGAGGGAAGTGTGAAAAACATTCATTCCATTTTCAAAGAAGTTTTTTCTTTTTTTTTTGAGAAATGAGTTGCGACCTTCATCAAGTATTAGAGGTACATATTGACTAGCACAACCGTCGAAGAACAAGTATGTCTTCATCAAATTAACACAATAACTCAATTCATGGAGGAACATCATTAAGGATCTAAAATAGAATTTGTAGTTGCGGATGCAACGCAACAATTAGAATTTCAGAAAAATGAAAAAAATCCAAATAGATTATATTTCTGTTGTGCCATATGCGACTATTTCAAGTAGTATAATGGCAATGACGAAGAATAAGTGAACAATAGAAAACGGCAATTAGTTTGATTTTTCATGATGAAAGATCATCAATTGAGGATGCACTGGTTTCTTGAATTCTCTCTTATCAAACCTAGTTTGGTTTTTCTCGCAATAATGGTATTATTTAACATCTTGACTCCTCACCA